AGACCGGAAGCACGTGGCCCCCACCCGCGCGGTTGCCCCGGCGACCGGAGCTGTTTACCAGGGGGGGAAAGAGCCGGGTGGCAGCGGCGGATGGAGCGGAGAGACAGACGAGGTGAGCAAGGCCGGTCCGCCCGCGCCCCCACCCCCAGTCCTGCTCAAGGTCCCGGCTGCCTGCCGGAAAGGGACGGGGAGAGGCCAGACCCAAGCCCTCAGCCCGTCGGCCCGGACGGGCCTCCCCAAACCCTAATGGGGAGAACCCTAGGAGACAGGACAGGGGCCCTGAGACTAGCGGCTGCGTCCCAGTGGCAAAGCCAGCCCCACCGGAGCTCACCGTTGCCGGAACAGGAGGACTCCAGGGCTCTGCAGAAGCCGAGGGGCCTGGGAAACCACTGGGCCATGCCCTCCAGGCCGGGCAGTACAGACGGGACACAGACCCAGAGGGACAAAAGGACATCCCGGCAGTCACAGGGAGAGACCGGAACCAGACCTGAGCCTCCCCCAGACCAGCGCTCTTTCACCCAAGTCAACTCTCCCTTTCCAGACCCTCATTCTTGCCCCTCCCCCAAATCCCCTCCCCCTGCTGCTTAAGCTTCTTTCCTCCTGGAGCTTCCAGTACTTGGAAATAATTGAGCTATTCCCCTCCACCTACCCCATCCCACTCTTAGAATCATTCCCACTTCTTTTCCAAACCTTTGATCACTTGGTGGCCTGTGATTCAATTTCTCTACTCCTCCTTTAACGTGGTGCTCTGCATAGGGCAGTGTATTCTCATCATTAGTCCCGGGTCGAACTGGGAATGGTACCAAAGTTTTGTCATCCTCAGGCCCACTACTACCTCCTGTTGGTTCTTCTGAGCATTTTCATCCTGAAAGCCTCAAGAAAAGGGGTGGGGATGGGCAGGGAATAGTATCAACTGATAAATATTTTAAAAAGACCAATTCAAATGTATGCATCCTTGGTACATAGCCGCAGATGGTATGTGGGTGGCTGTATTGTATTGCACGTACTGTAGATTTAGATTTGGGTTGTGAGTGAAATAGGGTGGTCTGACCCCACGGTGGGAGGTGGGCTCTGGGAAGGCAGGAATACGGCTTAGTTTCTCTCACCAAATTTTCCTTCTTCCCAGTGGAGGTGGTGATTAATCTTAAGGAATGAGCACCTGCCCTTTGGCAGCTCCTTGGAAACCGCTCTTGGTGTTTGTTTCCTGACTCCTAGCAGGCTCCTTGGGTGCAGCTTGTTTGTTTAAGTAAACAGGCCACTTGCCTCTTCAGCTGGCAGCCTGAGGGTGCCTGCGCCTAGATCATGTCAGAGCGCTTTGTGGCTGTGTCTGCCAGGCCGAGAGGTGGTGAAACAGGCTGAGCACGATACTGGTGGGCAGTACAGAAGCCTCTCTGGACTGAGGCGGGTGTGCAGGGCTTGCGATGCAAGGTGTGAATATAAAGGCGCAAAGTTGGCCCAGGATCCCAGGCACCTGGTTGCCCCACCTCCCCTGTCCCCGTTCTAGAGGCCAGGGAGAGCTGGTGTTCCCGCCACTGAACAGATGGTCCCTGCACTGGAGGGGAGGCAGCAGCTTATGAAAGCAGGTTCGATGGAATGGTTTTACCTGAAGGAGGTGTGAGTCTCTAAATAACCATGAGTGGGCTCATAGGAATTAGTCATAACTGAGGCTTTTCTCTGAGATAGCTCACAGTCATGTTATCTTATGACCATTGTGTCTTGAATATGCCACCCTTTGAACATGGATAATTATATACTACCAAAAGGTATAGAAAGTGCATGCACATACTCAAGTTTTACTGTTAAAAATAATCCAGCAGAGAGCCTGGGAGAACACGTGACTTTCCTCCTCAAAGTTGTTAAAAGAAGAGGTTTCTAAGTTACCAAACTTACTGACAGTAAAACCGTCCCGAGGCATGTGTGGGAGTGGGAAGCCAAGTCTGTGATAACTCTGTAGAAGCTGTGGCAAATTAATAGCCATTCCGCAAGCGGGGTGGGTGGGCAGAGAGGGGGAGTCGCTGAGCCGGCTGGGCTTATCTTTGGCAGAACAGTTGGACAACGTTGACCTCCTCGTGCTGTGCAGAGTTAAAGTGCAGAATTGCTTAATTACAAGTGAAAGACTTTAGAACTAAACTAAAAGGGGAGAGGAAAAAAACTCCAGCACATTCTTCACAGTTGATCAGAAAATAGATTAAATTAACACGGAGATGGGCATGCTTTTTGGATGCCAAGGAGAAAGCTCCTGAACTCCTAGCTGCCAGATTGGGTGTGAAAGGCTAGAGAGAAGAGGGAAATGGGAGTGTAGTCGGGATACTGTCTGCGAGCAGAATGGAGAAAACACAGGGGCCAATAGGTTAAGAAAGGGAGCGTCACTTTAAGATTTTGCCCTGAATAGGACTTCAGGAAGATACAGGAATATTGTGTTTTGTTTGGCTGTGGTTTTGATGGAGAGGAAGAGGTATGATACTCCCTCAAACTAAGCAATAATGGTGCACAGAATGGTATCATTCACATGCAGAGCTGAGAGTGGTCAGAACTGTATGATGAAGGTAGCTTGGAGTAAGTGAATTTGTGGTAAGTATAATATTACAGTGTGGAATTAGAAGGGATTAGAAAGCAAGTGATCTCTTCTTTCTGAGGCAATTTCAATAGGGCCACAGCTCACTGAAATCAGCCTTCCGGCACTTCTGTGCAGTGGGCGGGGCAGGCGTGAGTCCCGTGATTCCCCAGGCTGGTTAGAGCTGACAACAAACAGCCTGGGGAAGAGCTCTGAAGCAGCAGGTAAAGCATCTGGATCTAAAATAATAAAAGCACTAAGCAAAGAGAAAAACAAAAACAAAAGCAAAAAAACCCCTTGCCATTTAATTGTCTTTATTATGCACCAAGCCTGGTGATCACGGCCTGACCTACATTACTTCATACTCTCCTCATGTTACAGATAAAGAGACGGATATGCAGAGGTATGTAAATGATGTCTTCAAAGTCATCGAGCTAATTCTGTAGATGAGGAAAGTGACGGACCAGAAAGATGGAGCGACGGCCCTGTGGTCTCCTAGCTAGCTCCAGACAGAGCCTGAACTGGAATCCAGGTCTTATGACTCCAGGGCCTGTGTTCTTTGCACCCAAACACGCTGCTTCTTCGGGGGCCGTGAGGCACTGGGAAGTCACCAGAAGGTTTTTAGAGAGATGGTCAGCCTGTGGGCAGGGAGAACGGCGGCCTCAGTGGTGGTCGGGCTTCAGAGGGAGGCAGGCAGCCCAAGACACAGCCATGTCCTGGGAAGGTGTAACCGGGGACTGGGAGGAGGAGGTGGCTGGAACAGTGTTAGTGAAAGGGCCACCACGGTGGCCGGCAAAGAGGAAAAGGCCTGGTTTGGCCCTGGTGGGCCCGCACAGAGAAGTGCGCACGCCTCCCACCACGCTTCAGAACACTGCTTCCGTGTGATTTCACAGGCACTCCTGCGCACCCCAGCTGCCAGAGACAAATCCGGAGGCCCCTGCAGCATTTCCAAGGTAGAAACGTAAACAGTGAGACAGAAACAAACAGTAGGAGACAGACTGGCACATGCTGGGGGAGATGCCCAGCCTGGTCCTCAAGAACAGGACCCGTGTCACCGACCTCAGTTCTATTTCAGGCTGTGCCACTAGCTGGCTGTGTGACCACAGGAAAGTCGCTCTGCCTTTCTGGCTCGCATGTCTATAGTATTTGCATGTGCCCCAAGTCCCCTTTGCAGTTGGTCTGGGACAGCGTTTGTTAGTGGTGGCCCGCGGGCCAAAGCCTGCTCACCACCAGCTTTTGTGTGGCTCATGGGCCAATAGCTTTTACACTTTTAAATGGTTGAAAAAAATCAGAAGAAGAATATTCTGTGTCACATGAAAACTATGTGAAATTCACATTTCCATGTCCATAAATGAAGGTTCATTGGAACACAGCCGCACCTGTTCATTTGCATACTGTCTGCGACAACTTTCATACCAGAAGGGTGGCGTGGAGTACTTGTGACCAACTGTGTGGCCCACAAAGCTGAAAGTATTGACTGTCTGGCCATTTACAGAAAAGATTTGCTGACCCTTAGTCTAGAGCACAGGGACAACCCTGTAAGTTCTGGCCAGTGGGTGGATCAGCAATGGAGCCTCCCATCCCTCCTTCCACCCCTGGCGACAAACTTGGGACAGTGGAGGGACAGTGCATGAACTGATGCGTGCAGAGCCGCCTAAGCAATGAAAGATGACAGCAGGAAGGAAAACGAAGCTATGGGTGGATTGGTAAAGAAGAGAAGGATTTAGGGAGAAAGGGAAAATGGGGGTCAGAGAGGGTGGCTCTTCTGCAGGGAATACTGGACCAGCGCTCACCACTGTCCCCTGACTCAGGATGATCCCTCACCAGGGTGCAAAGAGAAGCCTGTCGGTCTGTCCCTCGGCTTTGGAGTGAAGCTGAGCCTGGCTTTCCTGCGTGGTGACTTCACAGGGCTACTTTGGCTCTTTGGAGCAGAGGCCACCCCTAGTAACACTGCTTTGCATAGCTGTTTGTGGCTGGCTTCGTGCTACCATGGTAGGATTAGTAGCTTGAGCAGAGATCACATGGCTCCCAAAGCCAAAATCATTTACAGAAAAAGTCAGTCAGCCCCTAGTCTAGATTGTAACATGTTCCTTCTCATCATTCTGGTCTCTCAGCTTAAAGCCTCCCCCATCCCTGCCAATTAAGAAGAAGAGTCAGTCCCCACCCTAGTCAATCTCTAATGCAGTGCTTTATTTTCTTCGTGGCAATTATTATTTACATATAGGTTTAACACTTGCCTTTCCTCACTATGATAATTTAAGTTGCAAGGATTTTGGTTCACTGATAGATTCCAATACCTGGAATGAATGAATGAATTAGAGCTGGTGCGCCCCTCCAGCATGGTGGGTTGGCTTATTCTGGTACCCTGCTGGGATCCAAAAGTCCCAGGAAATTGAATCCATGGCCTCCTCTTTTTCTCCTGCTTCCCTAGGGCTCTTGAGAAGCAATGGCCACCGAAGCCACCGTGAATGTGGCCTCCACTGAATGCAAACCTGCTGTCAGCGCAGCAGCCGACGGCTTCATTTGGCAGCCAAGCTCACTGGACATGCACGTCATAAGGCCCAAGTCCGCCAAGGGGCGTACACGGCCGAGCCTGCACAAACCCCAGGGTGCGGGGGCGTGCTCCCGTCGCGCACCATCTTCTCCACCTCCAGCCATTCCCTGCGAGTCACCAAGCAGCCAGAAACTAGGAACCCGTGCACCCAGATCCCCAAATCAGGGAGCTCCCGATGAGGTCCCCGAGCTGCTGCAGCAGGTACCCATAGGGGCTTCCTCTTCCCTCAATAAATACCCGGTCCTTCCTTCCATCAACAGAAAGACCCTGGAGGAGGAGGCTGTGGAAACAGTTGCTAAAAGGGCTGACTCCCTGCAACTGAGCAGCATCCAGACTCTTCACCAAAAGGAGACCTGCACCACAAAGACAAGCAAAGAGGATTCCAGAGCTCCAGTTCATTCCCCGGAGAAGGAACTCTTCGCCCAAACCAGGAGACAGACCCTCTCTAGGGCTGGAGTCCTGGAGGAACCATCAGATCAAGAGCCAAGGCTGCTGCTTGCGGTGAGATCGCCATCAGGCCGGAGGTTTGTTCGCCACTTCCGGCCAACCGATGACTTGCAGACCATTGTGGCTGTGGCTGAACACAAAAACAAGGCCACCTACCAACACTGCAGCATTGAAACGATGGAGGTGCCTAGGAGACGATTCTCCGACCTCACCAAATCTCTGCAAGAGTGCAGGATCCCCCACAAGTCCGTGCTGGGCATCTCGCAGGAAGACGGGGAGGGGTGGAACTGCGTCCACAGCCGTCCAGCTGGGGTTCTGGATCTCTGAGCAGGGAGTGCGCTCAGGTGCCATGGCCTCCCAGGCAGATGGTTCCAGGTGCCATGTGAGCCTGGTGCAGCTCTGATTCTTGGGACTCTCGCCTTCACCGCATCTCCTTGGAAGCAGTGAAATGTATGCATGCACCAAGTGCCCTGAGAAGATTCTCTTCTGGTTGTTAAATTCTCAACACCCCTGGAGTGAACTGGTCAGTTACCAGGGCTGTTCCTAGAACAGCTGCGACTAGCCCTTCTTCTTCCTAGAGTATGGGACCTTCTTGGAGCACCTGCTCATCTTTACAATGATCTTTCTCTCTCTCTCTCTCTCTCAAAGCCAATGGTTTGCCTTTCTGTATTTGATGCAGGATTAAACACATCCCAGAGAGGATTCTAGTCTGGTAAATAACCAGGGTTCAAGAAATGTCAAGCTGGCATTTGTATTTCTTGCAAGCATCTTTAAGAAACAGGCGGCAACCCTGTCTTGGAAGCAGCCTCTTTGCTGGGCTTGTGTGGCTAGAGTTTCTTGGGTTTTCCGCAGAGGAAAGAACAGGTCTTTTGCTAGTACAAATTCCCCACCACATCAACATGTCTAAAACAGTCTGAAAGCTGGAAAGCAAGTTGCTTCCACAGCCATAGCTTGGCCAGTAGCTACTTCGAAAGAGAGACTGACCAAGTTTACAACTTTTGGTAGCCAATCTTTGAGTGGAAAATTCTTCCAAAACAGAAAATACAGTGTCATCTCATGTCCTTTGCTTTTGTCCGCAATGGAATCTTTTGTTTTGGAGTTGTATAAACCTCCAAGTCTGTACGGTTTGTACTACAGACCACCACCCCCCCAGCTTATCTGGGTGTGGATACATTGTTTTATCCCCCAATTTCAGTGTGTCCTCAACTTTAAACAGAGCCTCCAGGGGTGCCCCTTTACTCTGATTTAGAATCCCCTTTGGGGGAGGGCCTCTGGGCGGGGTGTCGCATGTTGTGCCTATGCTGAGAGACCATGTGTCCAAGTGTCTGGCAGATGGGCATGAAGAAGCACTTCTGAGCGCCTTAGCCTATAGCTGTATTGAAGACCAGAGAGTTTTGTTTTTCCACCTCTGAGTGGTGACATGAACAATTTGCCAAAGTTCTCTTGTATTGCCAATTTAGCAAGACTCCCACGTCTCATCTGGATCCCCTCTATGGCCAAATCACTCCTCAGAGTAGGGAAACTTGTCCCCCCACCTCCCACCAGGGCCACCATGAAGCCCTGAGAACAGATACACACACAGAGAAGGCCGGGATTCTAGAAGCATGTCGTTGCTGCTGCCTCCACAGCAAGTGCATCTTGGCCACAGATAAGGAATGTGGTTGGAAACATGACTTCCAGAAAATCGATAATTAACCATGGAGATTAGCACCACCATCATTTCTACTGAAGGAGGCTCGCCTTGTCCTAACTGCTTCCCATACCACCCAGATCCATCTAGAAGAGGTGGCAAAGTTTCTTAAGATTGTCAGGGTTTGGTCAGCAGCTCCTTTGACTGCAAAGCTCGGCCGGGGCTTGCAGGGCCTAGGGCAGCTCATGCCACTGGCCGGGTCGCTCAATTACTGACCCTGACAGAAGGGACAGTGGCTCGAGCCTGGTGTTCATGTTGCAGGAGCTGCACCCCCCACCCAGGACTCAAGTACAGAACTCTGCCTTTGATCTAGCAGGCTGGGGGAAGAGCCTCCCACAAAATCACACCTACACGGTGGTAAGAATAAAATGCCACCCACCTGGGACTCATTAATTTCTCCAGGCAGGAAATCTTTAGAATGCTCCAGTGGAGCGGGGCATGCTGGAACGAGTTAGAACCTTCTGCACTTAGGGGTTTGCTGCTGTTATTTAGCTTTGAATTTTGGGGTGGTGAAAACCATGGAAGGCAGGAAGCATAGAAATGTTTTATGCCATATGAATAAAACTAGATTTGAACCGGCTTAATAAACTTTTTTATTTTTTGGACAAGAGATGATGATTCTAACAATAAAACCAATTTGTGTGAAACCGAGTCGATGGGGAAGCACATCTTCTATTTTAGCCCAAGACTTCAGCTCCCACACTCCAGTGGACAGAGTTTGTTAAACTCATCTTTGGTTTCCTCCTTGGCAAAGCACTTGGCTCTGCCGTTCGCTCCAAGTCCTCTTCCCCAGGCACTCCAGAAGCTCTTGTTGTCAGCTTCTGTCATAGCATGAAGCTTGTCTCTATGGACAGAGGCTCCTGACTTTCTCTTAAAAATCATTCCACGTACTCTCCTCTTGACTTGGCAAGGGCAGACTACGTAAGAATTTCAGAGTTCCCGATGGCTCTGCACTCTGGCCTTCTGGGCGAAGTGGGGCCCAGCGCACTCCTCTTGGTGGCCCTGGGTGGGTCAGCTTTACCCACTTTGTAATCACAGACCACAGCCATTTATTTAACCTGCAGTCATGGAGGGCCTACCCTGTGCCACGTTTGGCGATCAGCGTTGGCACCCTAGCGAGACAGCGTTGTCAAGGAAACGTGGAGCCACCTTTGGGCTCTCAACTCAAACCCGGCTGAAGGTGGGTGCTGTGGCTTTATCTGTGAAGAACCCTAGAGTGAGGATCAGGCCAGATGGCCACTGTGTCTTCTCCCCACCTGGTGGTAAGGCAAAGGTTTCTTCGCCATGGTTTCTAGTGATGGCACTAGGAAGGCTGTTCATGAGGGATATGATTAGGTCTTCCAGTATATCCCCTGATGGAGTCCAATAGGTAAATTAGTCCTGGCAGCAGAAGGAACAGCAGGAGAAATAAGTGACTCATCATTTAGAATCCAAAACATTTTCACCAACAGATGGCAGGTGGTTTTAATACAACAGTCCTTGCTCCGAAAGTACCAGGAGACCCAGCCAATAGACGTCAAGCTGGGGCAATCCTGCTGAAGAGACGGCCTGTGAACCTGACCATGGGCCAGCAGTCACCCCAGAGCTCAACCGACAGTACCGCGCAAACAAAGTAAGCAAAGCGGCCCAGTGACAGGTCGCTATCATGCATGACAAAAATAGGCATTCCACAAACTGAACTCTGCTTTTGGTCATGCTCTTCCTGTCTTTGCAAATGGGGTTTAATGTCAAAGCCCTGTCTAAGAGGCAAAAAAGTTTCTTTCCAGAATGCTCTATTAAGGTCTTCATAATAAGTTGGGATAAATGGGTGCACAGTTTCCTGTGGTTTGGAGTATATTTTAGATGACCTTTTTCTGTGATAAGAGGATCTACTTTGCTACTTTTTAAAAGAATTGCAAAGAAAACGAGTTTGTCCTACTTCAGTTTAGTTTGGAAATCACCATGAGAGTTAAGCAGGGACATGGGCTCTCTTCGTCTGCTAAAGCAACACCCCACAACACAATGAAAAGTTTGCGAGCCTGTTGACCCTCGCCCTGAGACCAGAATTTCAAACCCTGCCATGCAAGCAGAGGAGGTCAGAGGTCACCGAGGAGGAGTCAGACATCCAAGAGCAGCAGACTCCTGGTGACTCACAATGTACAAGACAGTCGCTCACATCACAAAAATAAAATTGGGTGTTGTATTTTGTCTTCGCCGGTGATGTGACATTTTCCTTTCCTGACTCGGGCAGCCTCTACCAGCCCCTCTTGATGTTCCCCTGTGTTCCTCTGCCTTCATGCAGCAGAGGAAGCAGCGGCATCCTGAACAGCCGATGTGCAAGAGCAAATCTCTGGAGGTATTTTCGGATCCGCTTAAATCCTATCCAAAGAGGCTGAACCACTGATGTGACAACTGCCAGCGAGTACAATGAAGCAAGCCTCACTCTGATGGCCCTGCCGCTGTGCTGAGAGCGGACTGCGGGGGTCAGAGTCGGGGGGAAGATGGAAGACCAACTCCCGCACGTGGACCGTAACCAGGGGAGATGACAGTGGCGTGGGCCAGGGCGATAGGTACAGAGGTCAGGAGAGGTGGTCAGATTCCGGATATATGATCTATTTTCTTATGGAGAAAAAAAAAAAAAAAACCAAGATAGTTTGACAAGGTGGGATTTACTCCAGTGGACTTAGCTGATCAGGTCACCAATATGGACTACTGCTGCAAAAACAAACAAACCTGAGACCAACAAGACCAACACATGGTGGCGGGGGAGAGACACTTCCCAGCAGTTTCCCGTCATGTAAAGGAAATGCGTGAGTGAGCCTGGACAAGGCTTGCAGAGAATCCCAAAGCTATTAATTGCTTTAATTAAGAAGAGATGCAACTAAAAAGGTCACTATTTCACTTAATGTGTATGTTGTTAAACAAAATCAATTACCATCTAACTCTAGGGGTATGAGCACTGACCAAGGTCACTTAGAAAGAAATCCTTGTTCCAGTAAAACAACACATTGTTTTTATCTCCCCTTCCCCCTCCCTCCCCTGCCTCCCTTGTTTCCAGTCATTCAAACCCAGCAGCTGATTTGGGATGCATTTTTTTTCATGGGAGAGCAAACAAAACCACTGTCCTTTGGCATAATTAACAAAGCTCCTAGTGTCATGCCCAACTGTTCTTTACAATGAGGACACATGCGCAGTTGGTCCTATTTGTCACCAGCTAAGAACCACCTTTGACATCCATTCACTGATGGAGAGGCAGGGTCCACTCTTGTTAGAGTACCACTGACAGGCCACCTGCATCCAGCTCTGGCCCCGGCCCTGTTAACTGCGGCGACCAGCCACCTGCGGACAAACCTTGGGAGTATGGCAGCGCCTCTCATCCTCCCAACTGGGAAACACAGCCTGGAAATCGCCTGCCGCCGCCGCCCCAGCCCTGCTTCCAGCCCTGGGATACTGCATGTCAATCCAGACCAGACTTAAATGGCTCTGGACTCTGCAGGGGGTGTGCTACTTTCCCAAACCCAGGCCTGGTCCTCAGTTCGCTCTTGTTGTTCTTCATGGAGTTCCCAGCAGGCCCGCATCTTATTCAAAACATCTGTAACAAATTCATTCAACACATACATAGTAAGCGCCTGTATGTCAGGCACATGTGAGGTCTGTCAGCAAACAGAGTTGGCCCCAAACTCCTACCTTCATGGAGGTTACCTTCTGATGTGGGGAGACAGAAAAGAAACAATACAGGTAATAAATGACATAGTGTGATAGAGGACGCTGCATGCAATGGAAAACAGAAAGGGGGATCTGGGGAGCATGGGGCATGTGGTGATAGAGGATGAGATCTCTTTTTGCAGATTTTAGAATTTTTTTAAATCCCTGAGGACATTTTCTTCATTGC